CCTCAGGGTTGGTAGAAGTTAATGTTAAACAACCTTAACCTGATAGGGCTCTCGCAAACGATGATTCTACCTGGGACTACACTTGTCGTTTTTTGTGTGGGAATGTTATGCTCTAGGACCTAGTGCAGCGGCCAAGGAGAAGTGTAGAATCCGTCGTAGGCCACACTAGAAAGACATGTGCAATGGGTACACGAAAATTGTAGCGAGTTCCTCTAGCTAAAGGGGAAGGCAACTGTGGACAATAGTCTCGTTTGCTGGAGAGCGACAAGCTTTTTGTGACGTTCCGCTAGGAGGTATCACTTCAAGGTTGAATTGTTCCTATGGGGATAGACAGAACCACAAGTGGGATATCTGCCTAATCTCTGAATCTCGAAAGGGCAGGCCTGTCAAACTTCTTCTAAGAAACATAATGTTGTCGCTAAGTGTCCGTATTCTCCCTGGAACCGGCCAGGAATCATAGACAGGGTGTTTGTCCAACAGATAGTTAACACTCCTTCCCCTCAAGGAAAGAACTATAGGATGACACGTATGTTGAGAGATAACGACTGGCGAATCAAACGAAGGAGAGATGGATAGGGCCATATACGTACCCCTAAAGATCATTACATATATGAAAACCTAACTAAAAGAGATGGGATCCGGAGACAGAGGATCTCGAAATAAATAATATAAAAACTAATTTATTGCGAGGCTTAGGGCCTCGATCTGCCCTACTAGGCCCTATTTTTTGTACAGTCGGGCGCCCTAAGTGAAGGCAGGCTTGACCCAGGGCCAATAGGCTTATTTTTGGGGTCACCGAGCAACTGGGCAAATTCAGGCAGTTGCGCAGCGCCAGTTGGTTAAGAACGCCCAGGCCCAGGCTGCCTTTTTTCGTATGTAACTGAGGCAGGTCTTGGGGCAGATACATGACATGGATCGAACACAGGCCGAGGGTAGTTGGACATGGGCAACTACCAGACGCCCAGGGCCTGATTCGTGTGAACTAGGGCACAACCTCACGGGGCCTACTAGAAGCTTCTGGGCACGGGGCCCAGCACAGCCAGGCTTCACGCAGTAGGCAGACAATTTCCATTTAGGAAATTGCCTGCCCACACATTCCTCATTTGGGCACTGGTTGCATGATGAGCAAGCGCTGCTGCGCTATACGCTGGCCAACGCTTACACGCTCACAGACGAGCTGGAAGGAGCAGGCAACCATAGCCGAGTTGCGCTGCTGTATGCTGGATGGGGCGTATGGTGGTCCTTGGGTGCACGTGGTATCTGTGAGTGAGGGATCGAGGTTGTGAGTGATACGAGAGACATACCTGGTGCTTGAGGCGGATGGAATTGGTCGAGATCTGCTCGTACTTCGGGAAGCTGTTGACGTCACCAGTGGCATTGTAGATAGGCTAGATAGGATCTGCCATTTGTAGTCTGGCCGCAGAGCGCTAGATAGGATGTCGACATTGGTTCTTTGTTGATGATGATGAGAATATTCGAACATTGTCACTCATGAGCTTTTGTTGTGCTCTTATTTGGTGGGACTCGTGTTGCATTTCTATTTTTGGTTTGAGGTCACGACTATCTGGTCTCATGTGTATGATGGTGCTTGGTTTCTGAAGTTCGCTATCACTCATTTTCCTTGCAATTTGGTATTGGAGTTGTGGTACGGTGCACTAATCTGGCGCTTGTCTTCTGCCTATGCTGTATGATGGGTGAGCTGTCGTAGGGAGTGTATAGTGAGGAGGGCAACGGCAAGCAGGCGACCTAGGTGGAGAGGGGTATCGCCAGGAAGGCTAAGTGGTAATTATTGGGTGTTCGCAGTGTGATGAGAACTATCTGATGTGTGATTGATCCTCAGGTGGAACGGCCGGGTAATGCTGGTTGTGTCGATGCAGCGATTGGTCATCACAATCGGCATCAGTTCATCTGGTGAGAATATATGTGGTTGGGGCAAATATTTTCATGTACGTTGCACCTAACTTTATCTACCCTCTTCGACACTTCTCACTGTGAGGGTGTGTGTCTTGCTTGAGAGTCCTCTCATGTGAGGAGTGGAGTGCGCTCAACCTTGAGAGTCGACATTGTTCACGTGGAGCATTTGGAAGGAGAGGGTGGAGCTATCTAAAGGGCCCTAGATGAAGCACTAGGTCACGGTCACCATGCCAACCCATCGGGAGTAGAGCATGCATGCTTTGCTACTTTGTCCCTTGTCTGCCTACTGCGCTTCAGGGGAGACGAGTACCAGGTGTCTATAAATAAACGCCGACGGGGTGCCTTCCANGCATGCTTTGCTACTTTGTCCCTTGTCTGCCTACTGCGCTTCAGGGGAGACGAGTACCAGGTGTCTATAAATAAACGCCGACGGGGTGCCTTCCATTGGCTGTGATCGTCGTTCTTTTGTGCGGCGTTAAAGAATTCCTGAGGACTGCGGGGGCGGTCCTTAAACGCCTCCTGATCAGCCAATCGGTCGGTGTAAGGCTCGCTGCACACGAGGATAAATAATGTGCAGGGATGGCCAGTTCAACATAACTCGGGGCACAGGGGTGGGCCGTGTGCACACCTTTAGACATGCACACTGCTCCGGATTGCTCAGGGATGCTAACGACAAGAGACGTTCAGGAAGAACTGAGGGAGGGGTAGATTCTAGGTGATAAGTTTACTCTGCAATCAGCCAATCAAATGATTCTATTTTTTTTTTTTATTAGTTAGATGTACAACCATTAACTTCTGACAGACAGCATAGTAAGAACTATACTTTGTTCACTGTACTTTCTGTTTGTGAACTAGTCGAAGTAGAAATAGTTTCATTTGTAGGAATTYGAACTTACTTGTTGGACCCAAATGTGTAGTCTCTGACATAGTCACCAATTATTGATTTTATTTTATTTTAAATCGGTCTGTACATCATGCTGCGGTAGGCCTCGAGAGTGTCCTAGTGCAGATAGTATACAATGTTGTAGCCT